GGTGTAAATATCGATTTTAAGAGATGGACCAGGAGACGAGAGTTGCAACAGCAATAAAGTCAATTGAAAAGTTAGCCGTTTTTTCGTGCCATTGCATAGCAGAATAATCAGTGAATGAAAACTAAAATTATAGCTTCCTTCGTTCATCAAATATAGACATAAAGCTAACCACTTACCAACCCCTGGTCGGGTTAACCCTCGACAATTTACACACCAACGGAAGATACCGGGAGGGTAAAAGTGATGAGGGAATAGGGTGGCAGAGGTCCCAGGCACATGGTGGAGCAGCAGTGGGACGGGGATAGAACGTGATCTTTCACAGCTGCTTGATTGGACCAGGAACAGTGGTGGAACTATTGTCATGACAACGTTAACAGCGTATCGGATGATTCGGTCAAAATATTTAAAGCTGATGAAGGACCAACCTTAAAGGAAGACACGCTGATGAAATCGAGATCGCACAAAAGTTTTGCCTTGGGACTTTTGTTGGATTTTTGGTGGAAGGAGATGTCTTTATCTCCTTCTGCTAGAATTCTGGCCAAGAATTCATATGATGATTCATGGTGATACGAAAATGTGATACAGGAGAAGAATGTAGACTTGCTGTCTGCTGATGTGAAATTTTGATCATGTCTCGTGCAATCAAGTGGTATTTCTCTGAGTCAGAGGGGGAGGGAGACGGTAATCAGATAAATGATTCTTAACTCCCTCAGGTTTTCTTTCACCTGGTTTGGCATCCATACAAAGAATATATTTCTTCACATACATTTTCACAGAGGTTGAATGATATCTGTTATTCGTACTCTGGGTATTATAAGGAATGAATTCGGTACCCATTTACGAAACCAGGAATTTAACAGATTTTTTTTTTTTATTTTAACAGAATTGTGGAATCTACTAATTATTGATATCACTTTACCAGTAAATTGTTAACACAAATGAAAAGATAAATCTTCAATGGGGGAAAGTGCATGAATAGACAATGATATCAAATGAGTTTATCGCGATGGATTGGCAGTGGAACTTGAGGTATTTATACACACTGAGAAAAAAAAATTCTAGCCTGCACTAAAATTTCTTACCTCTAAAATTTAGAGGTAAGAAATTTTAGTGCAGAGTCTAAATAATATAAGACTATCTGAATTTAATTCCTAAATTTGAATAAATCTAATTTGCTGGAAGATCTATATATAAAGGCGGATTGGACAATATTTCTGAAAGATTATTGGTTATAAGGCTCTAGTTTAAATTTTGGGGTGGAACGGTCTACTTTCTGCTGAGAAAATGATTTCTCGCCTTACAGTTCCAGGTGTTTAGTCTAAATAACAGAAGATGATGCGAAATTATTTTCTAAACAGAAGTAAATGAGATGAAGTTGAATATTTCCGAGATACGAGAGAATCTCCTTTGACTTTGGAGAGGCTTGCGCTCTCTAAGCTTACTCCATTTTCGCGGTGTTTTTAGTACCAAAAAGACAATAATATACAGAAAATAATATTCTCTGGCCGTCATTAAAAATTTATCATTCTTAATAATATGATACTATAACTATTCCTTCATCTCGAGTAAATTGATTCACGCCAAGAGTGTATGTAGTACGGTAGAAGATATGTTTTTTTTTCTGGAGCTGTCAGTGTCTAGGATTACTTTTGAGGTAATTAACATTCAGTAGTTTTGGTCATAAAAACAGAATGTAGTACATCGAGGACCATTGTATTGGACCTATACTGCTACTGTATACTGAATTAGAACGAAGAGTTTAAGAAATACGCAAGAATACAAATTCATTTCCCATAATCGATCGTTTTCTCAATATATCCCCAAGATTATAAGTATTTGGTGTAATTCATGATAAAACCACAAGATACGCTGCAATAGAAAATATTTCTCACCTTCAATTAAAAATTTCTTAGCCCGAATAATGGCAAATTGTTAAAAAGAAATTTTTGAACTGAAATAAATTGGTTAACCACAAGAATGCATATATTATTGAAAAACTCATATTTATTTTTTTTTGAGGTGCTCATTTCTAAATTCACCTGCTCGGTTGCCAATATTCACCAGTATAGAACTGACAGAAAAAAATACTTTTTTAGAATCATGTACTTTCTGACTACCATGTTTTCCTCCGTTAAATGTCAAAAGGGCTGAAAAGATTAAGACAAATCGCCCGATTCTTACCATAAGAATGGATAAACGAATTATAATAAACATTAAATTTATTGAATAGAAATATTGTCGCAATTTTGGTCATCGATTGTATCCAACGCAGGAGATTTATTTGGGAAACTACCAATTCTAGCAACAAGAAGCACGATTTAGGCCAATCTTTAGAGTCATATTCTCTGTAAAAATGGACTTGAACGTAGGCATATATTTTTTTCTCATCAAATTAAGACCTCCAGTGAGAATGACGCGTCTCTCAAAATACGAACCTACTAATTTACCAAAAAAACAGGGGGATATAGAGTAAAAAAAAAGACAAAATAGATTTTTACAAATTAAGCCATCTTATATACCTTCAATTTTTATAAATTGTGCGTGGAAATATCATAAAAGTTGGGGAAACGGAAAGGGAAAAAATGGTCTCCGCCATTAATTTTTTTTTCTACCGAAAAATGTGACATATTGCCGATTCGATTTTCTGGTATCAGCGAGTTATGATGACCGTAATCACGCGGTTCTAACTTTGCATCGTTCGGTGAAATCGCGCATTACGGGTCCAATGACATAAAATATTATACGAAACATGTCACTAAAAAAATCACACTAGTAATCTCATCGTGGATCCATAGAACATATGATAACAATTCGAAATATTATTTTAACAAATTGGGAAGGTTTTGCGTTAATTTTTTTCATTTATGAGCATGAATACTGCTCCTTTGAAAGCTCGCAAAATACACACTGCAATAATGCTGTTTTTTTCAAATCTATTTATCCCATTTGTGTTTTTCAATGGAAAATTGCAATCGTCCAAATCTGACCTAAAAAATTAACTTTTAATTTTGCTTGGAAACTTGGTAATGATACGAAAGTTTTGGAAAACGTCTGTACGTGGACCCCTCTGACCAGCGGTTATTTTTTAGTTGAGGAAAGATTGATGGGTAAACAAATTCTAAATAAAAATATAAATTTGATTAGATGGGATATAAGGGTTCAGATTAACTCTGGACCTAAATTCAGCTCCATCGGTTCAGTCGTTTTTGGGAAATCGTGATTTCTTTATAAATCGTTTTTTCGAAATATCTCCAGAAATAAGATGTCCTCTTCGCAGTTCTCTTTCAACACTACAATATTTAAAACTAACGATGTCCTGAATTGGATCGTTTTTACGTAATATGTCAAAATTGGAAGAATAAAATCAGTTTTTTTATATTAAAATGAGTGAAGGTCTCCTCGAGATCGTACCCTAAGCAGTAGATCGGCATCGGTATTCCGAAAATGTAACTATTTTTCAACCCCAAAATTACACATATTCACCTATCTTAGTAGGCTCGAAACTTCGTTTCATACTGCATTGACAACTCATACATTAATTTAATCTGAGAATCATTCAGTTTCTTCAAGCTGAAAGAGAACGTCGGGGATTGAACGATCAAGCTACAGCTGGTCCATCGATGACCAAAGTTGATAAGCTCGTTTTGTCGAGTTTTCTATTATCTCATATCACTGTGGAAAGGCTTCTATGATAAATTTTAATTTTTACTCTAATAATATACTGGAAGCCAATAGAAAGTCAGCAGTACCATTATGAGAAGAAGACAGATCGATGGTGATTGAATTCATTATTGGAGAGTGTCTTAAAATTTCGCGTACTGAGTGAGTAATATGCAATTGACATAAGAAATTTCCAATATTGTCCAGGCATTGAAAAAAAGTTTCAATTCTCAGGAAAATAATAAGAATCTATTATTGATGATAAATCCTCCTAAAGTAGCGACATCTTCCTGAAATTCGCTTGCTTTGCTCTATGTATGTTGCTTTTACAGTAATTATGATTTTTTTTTAGTTGGAGTTACCCTCATTACCAGAGAGTCGCTGCAGTGATCTGTGAGATTTTTGTGAACGAGTCAGATTCTCGATTTTTTGAACCGGTGATTCTGAAGGCACAATCGACAACACGCAATGCGACACCATGCAAGGGCATTATTGAGAATAAGTTTCAAAATACACTGACTAAATATCGAACACAAATGAATTTAACTGGAAAAAGAAAAACATCAGAAGCTGCAGTAAATGCTCAAAGACCCAAATTAGATGGATAATACTTCCTTTCATACTTAAGGTTGTTGTCGCGTAGAATTTTTTTCCGACAGTTTTCGTTAAAAATTTTATGGTGAATAGTTTGAAAAATTAGCAACAAAATGAGCCTTCTCCGTATGCAATTGACCGTTTTGAACTTGAGATATAAATTTTTGAAATTCGAGTGATTTAACACGTGTTTAAATGGAGTTTTGCCGATGTTTATCCTGTTCTGCACTATCTCGTCCGCAACAGGGGGAGAGGAAAGAAGAAAAGGAGTTTCGGTAATGTCGAAACAGATCCTGCGGAAACTACAGACAGCTTAATCGCAACAGTTGCAGTACGTAATTGTTCACTTTTTTACCGGAAGAGGCCTTCTCCCAATTAATTTCTCTATATTTTATCGTTTTTGACAAACTATGGTTACGAATATATTTATAGAATTAATGAAGAAGAGTCTGCTTACCTTTAGACTAAACGATATCTTGAACTAAGAGAAAAAAACTTTAGCCCAGAGATTTAGTACTTGTCCGAAATATGAGCAGTTTCAGGGAAAACACGGCCTTATTTGTATTACAAAATTGATGACTCGAAAATTGACAAGAAAATCATACCTTATTCTAAAAAAAGAGAAATTTCTGTCGAGAATATGCACTTAGTCTTTTAGGCTTTTAGTAGTTCAAGGCGTTCCCTTCAAGAGATCGAGAAGTGCAATGAGCCTCTTGGCCATTTTGCACTCTGCACTTATCAGCCCCCTAGTCCATAGGTGTTAGTAAGTTTGCCCTCCGAGCAAACTCGTAGAGCCCTTCTATACCGTCCGTATCGACATGCAATTCCTTGGCGCAAGTGGCCCTGAAGACATTCCAGCGGACCTGATCAAAACCACTGTATTTAGTGTCTAGGTGGTGCCGATTCTCCTCTGTGAGTCCGCATTTCGGGCAGTTAGGATCAATTCCTCTGTCTATCTTAGCCAAGTATGAGGCTAGGGGCCAATGACCAGTGATAAGTCCCACCAGAGACCGGAGCTTTATCCTGTTCTGTCCAACCAGCGTCCCAGCTAGCTTTTTCGTGGGTTCACGCAGAAGGGTCCTTGTATGCTTGGCGCCCTTCTCAGAGCGCCACTTCTCCAGAATCCCCCTCTCCGCTCGTTTCCGGATCATATCCTTGACCATGTCTACGTGCATACCCACCAGGTCTTCCCTGGTTGGCGCAGTCTTTAGACACCCTTTTTTGGCCAGCTCATCGGCTCTTACATTACCGAGGATGCCAGCATGGTCTGGGATCCGGTCCACGTCTAGCTGGCTATTAACACTAACCCTCTCCACCAGCTCAGTGCATTCGTTGACTAGTCGAGAGGAACTCTCATGTCTGAGTAGTGCCCTCAGTGCGCGCTTGCTATCTGAGCAGATGTATATTTTCTTGCCCCTGTCCTCTCCGTCCAGGACTTCCCTGGCACAGGCCCTCAGGGCAGCAAGTTCTGCCTGGAGCACGCTCATGTGAGATCCCAGTCTAAGGGCCCTTGCGATTGACGGTCCCTCAGACCAGATTCCTGCTCCACCTCGGTCGCCATTTCTGGAACCATCCGTGTACCAAACCAGCCCCTTTGGTGGCGCCCACCCTGTATTACCCCCTGACTGAGTTGCCCCATTTCCAAGGGTCATCTTGAAATTCCTCTGGAAGTGCTATTGCAGCCCGCAGGCATGTCGTCCCGGGACAGCAGCCTCTGAAGGCCCCCATCCGCAGCAAGGATAGCCGCATGACCACTACTAGCTCCTTTCCACTGGCCTTGTAACCGCGATTTCGCTGCGGAAATCAGTACCACCTCCTGAATATTGAGGTGCGGAGGTTGATGAAAGATTAGGGCCTTCATTGCTGAGGTGACGATTTTTCTAAGTGCCCCCGTAATTCCCAGCATAGCAAGTCTGCCTGTCCTGTCTACCATTCTCCCGTGACAGGCTTTGTTCATAGCCATCCACCAGACAACAACAGCGTACGTCAGCTGTGGGACAATTAGGGCTGTGTAAATCCATTTTACAACCCTTGGCCGCAGTCCCCACGTATTTACAAACAATCTCCTGCATGCCCAATAAATCGTGATGACCTTTTAGTCTGCATGGTGATGTGCTTTTTCCAGTTGAACTTTCTCTCTAGCCAAACACCCAGGTTGTTTCGTCCCGGACAAATCAATTTTATTTACTGCTGAGTTGTATTTAATTATAATTTATGATTCGTAAAGAAATGAAAATAGTTCAAATTTCCAGACATTTTGGAGAGCGAATGAAGATAAAGGACGCGAACAACAGAGTAATTTTAAGCCTTTTTTGTATCCATCTATTCCAACAATTCTAAAGGAAGTCACGATCCAGTAGTTTCGGACAAAGTGGGTGGTCAGCTGCGAAAAATCCTATTCCCCAGAACCCTCAGCTCTTCAGCAATTTAGTATTTTTTGTCAACCCGAAAATTCCTCACAAGGCCCAGGAACCGTCAAACCCTTCATTTAGTGTGGGCAACCCCCCAACTTTCCTGGCACCCACACACATAGCACATGTTCAGAAGGATCGGGCTGGGAGACTGGGTCTATTGAAGACGACACATTGCCCGGTAGAACATGTTTTTCCGGGTAATCTATTGCAAGTCGTCACTTCAAAAAAAGAGGTTTCAAACTTCGCGTAGCCAATTTATGACTTTGGAAATATAAAATTCTGCCTTCCTTAAAAGCACACCCTCTTTTCTCCCACCATCAATGGATCACACCAATAAGTTCGAAGGTTCTTCATATACCTATCAGAAAAATGACAAACTATTGTTGTATAGCCAGTTCCCCCTCCTTCTTCAGACGCTCTCAAGAAATCAAAAAGTAAAATAAGTTAGTTAGTTGTCGGAAGTTCAAGTGCCATCACAATTATATCTTTCTCTTGTGTACGCAAAGACCGTGGTCAATAAAAAAAGGAAAAATAACAGTTTAAAGTCTGTGCAACCAAGGTGTAGTGTCAGTGCAAATTGATTATTTCTATTTAGTTCCTCCCTATCAATTAACTTTTCTCTCGAATAGTGTTTGTCAGCTCAAGAGCAAAGAACATCTAAAGAAAAATCAGTGAAAGAATCATATCTCGAATGATATTAATTTGTTAGCTCGAGTCTATCAATTCTGAGTTGATACACAGGTTCTTTCCCTCCTCAGAAAAGCTCAGTATTTTACCATAAATAGAGGGGGGTCTTACGACACATCTCCTCCTCTTGGTGAAGAGCCACTCTGTCTTGCTTGGATTAACCCTGAGACAAGAGAGAGGACCAGACCAATCTGGTTCGGAGCATGGCAGCGACCTATCTAATGACGGGTGCCTGAATCCCAAGGGACACCGCCGCCTTCTCCATGCTCCACACGAAGTGTTGTTAAAGGCCCCCTCTATGTCAATAAAGACACTAAGGGTATCTCTATCCTTTTCTTCACTCTTTCCATTGTTCTAACCAGATTGTGCAGTGCACTCTCGGTCGATCTGCCCGCCTGGTATGCATGCTGCGAGGGGCTGATTGGATTACTATTCAGCACTTCCTCTTTAATGTGCCTATCAACAAGCCTTTCCACCGTCTTCAGTAGGAAAGAGCTTGGGTTGATAGGCCGATAAGCTTTGGCGTTGTCATAGCTGCACTTCCCTCCATCTTCTTGGGACATGTCCTTAGCGTTGGTAGCAGTCTATGCAAAAGCCGGACATACGCTGTCAGGACCCGGATTCTTAAAGGTTTCAAAGGAGCCCACCGCTCACTGCAGTCTATTCAACGTTACAATTTTCGAGGTCAGGTTCCAATCCGAATCGCCCCCTCCTGGTCGTATTTGATCCAATCAAGAGCACACTCCCTCTCTCTGTATGACCGAGTTGGGGAAGTGCACCTTGATCAAGCATTCCAGGATTTCATCCGGCTGGGTGATGGTTACATCTGTGGAGCCTGACCATCTGTGACAGTCGATCCAGTTTTCACAGAAGGTCCTCCATGCCGATTCCTTCGATTTCTTGATGAGGTTCTTGTACTCCCTTGTGTACTCCTGTACAGAGTCCAGTCCACATCGCTTTTAGTGCGGAATGCTCGGTTCCAGAGTCGTCTGGTCAGGTTTTGCAGCCTCCCGAGTTCTCGATTCCACGACTTGACTTTCCTTCCCTCTCTACGCCGTTTGATCGGGCATGCTCTATGGAAGGACTCGGTTAGGGCCCTATGGATTCTCACTACTTCGTCCTCTAACCTGTCTGCGTTGCTGGACCTCACACGACCTTCATCCAGCCTTTCCTCCAGCTCCCTTCTAAAAGAGCTTCAGCCGGTGGCCTTGGGATTCCTTCGCATGAGCCCCTGCTCCATCGCAGCAATGCCACTGATTTCCAACTTAATGCTTAATGTTATCCCGAGAAAAGAACAGCTCTTCCCTAACTAAATCAAATCCTTTTACAGTGCCGGCGTAACACCAGGGCTCCTGTATTAGGCATATATCTGTCTGCTATGACCAAGGCTATGACCCAGCAGAGCAGTCGCAGCCTCGCAGTGTTGCAAGTTGATCTGGGAGCATCGGGCGATCGGTGAGGTTGTACCGCCTTGTCGTCCATCGTCCTTCATTCTGGCGCTTCTGCGCTTGCATGCCATCGGAGCGTCCTTATGTATGGTTCCCCTCCGACTCGTCTGATGTGCGCATCACGTCTTCTTTATTCTGGCCCTGACCAGAGGAACCCGCTCGGGCGCAGGTGAGAGTCTTTTGTCCCACCCTGACCACAACGTGCCACCCCTTCTCAGACCACGTCCGCCCCTGCTCCCTCTTGCGCGTCCCCTAGCCCTCGCTAGGGTGACCGTCAAAGAAGGCCCGTTGTCAGCAGCACTCCCGCAACCGTCCCCCACTATTCCTTTGGGGACCGGCGTCCTAGCACGTCTGAGACAGTAGAAGGGAGCCATCTTTGCCGCCCTGAGCCTCTCTAGGGACTTGCAGTCCACCCCTGCAACCAGGTCGATGCCTTCCCTCTTTTCTTTGCAGTCCCAGACCCTCCATTTTCCACTGTGGAGGCTCCGTTTCTGCTTAGCAAGGGAGGCTCCATTTCAAGGACCTAGTGTAGCCACCGCGCTCCTGAGCCACTCCTTCGACTGGGCATCAGTGCACGTGACTCACAGCACCTCTTATTCGAATCGGTGTCCCTCGCATTTTGGGTACTGATCGTTTTGGTCATCGCCGAACATCTTCTCCACCAGTGCGTTTTGCATGAGGTTCGCCTGATTCTCCATCAAGGATGGCTCCGGATGGCCGGAGGACACTACAGCCACCCTGCCGCTGCCCTTCGGCGCTTCCCTGAAGGAGGTTGCCCTAAGGTTTTCCCTCAACTTCACCCTTTTTCTACGCGTGGCGACCTCCGGGGGTGTGGTTTCCAAGGTCTCTTGAGTCTGGTCCCCTCGTCCACCCCTGCCGGGGTCTGCATTGTCACGTGCGAGGACTGCTGTTCCCGCGAAGCTTTGGTCTCCAGTCTGGCTTTGCGGGCCCTGCGTTTTTCCACACCCGTGCACCCCTTGCGCTTCTTATTCGCAGCAGGTTGGTTCTTGGTGGTTCCTACCGAGGTAGTTCTCTCCGCCGTCCGTTCTGCCACAACTACCGCTGTCACATGGTCCGCTGTCGGAACTCCAGTGACTGCTGCCGCCATTGTTCTGCAAGCCTCCAGCGTTCCCTCTGACAGTGCGCCACCTTCGGTGTTAGAAGTTTTATTATTTGAATTAGGAGTTTCCATGCTAACCCCACGATTAACCTAGGAAGTCAAAGTCTGCCCCAGAAGAGCCCGGATCCTGCGATAAGGCATGAATACAGTGAGGTGCTGCCTGGTGCCTTAAGGCCCTTGAGTCAAGGGTATCGTTCGCGACACTATTCCCCAGTGCCATCCAGCTATCAGCATGATAACTCCCACCTTGACTTGGGGATTTGGTCTGCGACGGTGTCTTGGGGCGCCCTCGCAGGTAACCGCCGAAGTTTGTTCCTATAACAACCGTTGAACAGGTTTCGACCAGGACCAGCGGGATCCAAGCTCTAATACCTCGCGGTACGTGGCCCCTGTCCCCCGGCACCTCCCTTTCCATAGCTGTTCCTCTATCCGCCACCTGTGGACGCATCTAGTCGGCACTCAACGGTCCCCTTCGTCTCTTTAAGAGCAGTCCAGGGACAGGAATTACGTAATTGCTTTAAAAATGATGATATTTTATTCTTAATAAAAATGAGATTCCTCAAGTGACGTTTACCTCAATGAATTCACTCACAAGTTGTCTTCTCTAAAATCCAAAAAATTTTAATATTAAGACTACTTGATTTTGTTAGAGAAGTCGTCTTCTTGTTATAAATTTATGCCTCATCATTTTTCCGAAAAGTACAAAATATCTTGACTAAAATGTATTGTCTCAATGTATATCGTTCAATAATTCATTTCTATAAGATTTTACCATATGATTAGAACAATTACTCATTTCGTTCTCAATCATATGGAACAATTTAGACAACTTTGCAAAAATCTTAAAAACAATTAAATATATGTAAATATATAAAACTTTGAAAATTACTGATGGATGCTGAAAGATAAAAAAAATTGTGGGATGTATGTGACAAAACTAAAAAATTAACTGGACGATAGCGGCATATCCTCATACTTCGTGC